TTATGATTTTGTTACCGCAAAATATTGGTAGACTAGTGAAATTTACTTATGTGGAAGGCCAATTGGAGCAAGGTCTCTCTAAAGAATTAAGGTGGTGTAAATTCAGGGAGTAAAGTTTAGGATGTAACATCGGGTGTCACATCGAGGTGTCATATGAAAGTGTTCGGATAGTAATAATAAAACAAATTATAGAAGTCTTCAGTAATCCGCGAGACGAATTTATTAAGCCTAATTAATCTATCATTAGCACATATTTACTCTAACACAACATTGCCAAATCATAAACTAATTAGGTTTAAAAAATTTATATTATAAATTAGTCGTAATCTGTATAATTAGTTATTTTTTTAATCTATATTTAATACTTTATGTACGGTGGGATAAACTTTACATGGAACTAAATAAAGGCCTAAGTTCAGTTTTGGCGTGCACACGTGCGCTCAGGCGGCTCAACGACTCATGAGATTGGCGTCGTCGATCCACCGGTCCAAGAGGCAGTCGCTGTCGCGCTGGCGTGGCCGGGTCCATGCGCGGGCCCCACAAATGGGCAACTCACAAGTCAGAAGCCACGATGAGAGACCAGCGGCTTTTTCGTTCGTTGGTTTTAGGCCGCTCAAATCAGTTAGGCATCAATATTTTTTTTCTTATACCAAATCAACATTAACTAGTCAAAATCAGTTCAGAAACCAATCATCGTTGTATATGCCCGTATGCACGTACAAGGTGGGGCCCACGAGGGTTCTGTCGTGTACGGAACGTCCACGTCTTTTGGGGACGACAAATCGCTTGATTCTGATATCCATATTCGGCGCTTAGCCAGGAGAGTAGTAAAAGTAGCTTCGTGGTAAATTTGTCGTGAGCAGATACTGTAGCAGCCAATGTTATAGGAACAACCGTTACAGAAGTCACTTGTGAGTTGTGACATATATATATTATTGCCTTTGCTAAGATTTACCAAAAGTGCAAAAATTATGCAGAAAAGTCTCTCTGCTTTAATTTTTCCTACCCACTTTTACTGGATCTTTTCTTTCTTTGCAATCGTAGTAATTTAAGAGGTGTGATGTTGACTACAGCACATCTTTTTTCTTACCAAAGTAAAGTGGTTTGCGTGGATGACATTATTGGGTCATTGGCAAAGGCTTTCTTCAGGGCCTATTTAGATTTAAAAAAAATTGCGCAGTGCCCGTCACATCGAATCTTACGGCACATGCATGAAGTACTAAATGTAGACGAAAAAAAACTAATTGCACAGTTAGATGAGAAATCGCGAGACGAAACTTTTGAACCTAATTAGTTCATAATTAGACACTAATTACCAAATACAAACGAAATGCTACAATGAACCAAAATCCAAAAATTTTTGAATCTAAACGGGGCCTCAGTCTTCACCCAGGGTGAAGACAGGAGACATGCTAACTTTGGAGCAAAATGTTCCTCGTTTGTCTCTTTCCTTAGACATTAATTAGTACAAAAAAAGCTCCAAATTTCTTTTCTAAAACGCGTGAAACTAGCGTGTGATTTGTATGGCTATATATGACGCTAATTGCTGTGGAGAGTGGGGTCCATCCAGGTCAACGTCAACTGCAGTAGTAGTTGGAGTTGCAAACTTGCAGTTGGCATCGCTCAGGTCTGGATCCACGCTCCTGCTCCTGCTCCTGCTCTGTTCTTGCAATAGCAGAATTGATGACGCGACCTCCTTTTCCTTGCAATTTAAAGTCAAGCCATCTTCCGCGGTTGTGCTGTTACTAGACAGCTACTTCAATTCAATTTTAGTGCCAAATGCACAGGAAATTAAGAGAATGTGAACAAAAATTAAGAGAGATGATAGCTGTTAGTGTGTTTCCTTTCTTTTGATAACACAGATTAAATAGGCACTGCGAGCTTGTTTATGTTACAAATTACAAGTGCACATGGCGAGACAGTGACATAGATCATGGGTTGACCTGTTTGTTTCGTTGAAATTTGGCTTACGCTGATGTTTATGTTGATTTGTTGTAAGAGAAAAACACTGTTTGCTCGTTAAAAAGTACTGCTGAAGTAGTTCAAACGAACAGGATAGTCACTAGAACAGCATGTGGGAGATCATTGTGAAGGTTGATGAGGTGGATTAGTTTAAGCAAGCACGACAAAACATAAAGGACACGAGCACTAATCTACAGTCACTAGAACATGCAAAGACCGGTGTTGAGTCAAGAGGTAAAAAAAAAGAAAGAAAGCCAAGAGATAGTACTACTATGGAGTAGCAATCGCAAAATTTAAAACTGGACAGCCACGGTCCATTGTCTCCATAGACATATGCTGTGTGTACTGCAGAAGTATCAATTGGTCTGCAAATCGCAGTTAAGCCCGGTCGTTTTCCAACGACCAAACAGGGGGTCTCTGAGACGACTCAAGGTTGACCGACGAATTTGAGTCCAAAGTAACCATGGGAAAAATTACCACAAGAATTATTATTGTTATGAATAAATTATTTTGATATATAATAGAAAAAAACCCGTTCAGCTTTGGACTATGAAGAAGCATCACGCTAATGTCATGACAGGAAAGCAACCGTAGGCTGTGACTGTGAGCACTACATACTCGTCATGGCAGAGGAAAATAAAACTACTTGGCAGTTCGATGGTAACTCGGTTGTGAAACATTATTAGCAGATTTTATTTTGAACGCAATGGCATGAGCTCCGCCTTTCAATTGAGTGGAATGGAATTGACTCGGTTTATAAGAGAAACTGGGCCTAAAAACCACACTGACACGTGGTTTATTAGATGGAAAACCGGCAAAACCCCAACCACGATAGCCAGATTCTGTCAATAGTTCTCCATCCAAGAGACACAAAGATTTGCATAACCGTCGACTCCAGCACGTGGCATGCAAAGATCGTCATCTCCTTGTGTTATTTACTTTGTTGTAACAACACCTAGAACATGAGCCAATGTGTCTCAATGCATAATAACATGCATACAAGGTTTATAACCCTGTTTAGCATAGCTCTAGCTCTGAGATTCACCTCAGATCTAGAGTTTGTGTGCTATAACGAAGAACCTTGAGACTCTTTTCTTTTACCTGACATAAGTTAAATACTCAAGCAATAAACTCAAGTGTAGTCACAGCTCTAGCTTTATTTGAGAAGCTACAAATTTCCAGCTCCAAGAGTCATATAGCTCTAATAAATAGGGTTGTCATATATAAAAGTGTATACCATCCCTATAGAGCCACAAAACGAACGTGGATTATAAGCTGGAACAATATTTTTCTCTCACACCAAACCAGCCAGCAGTAAATAATCCACGATCGTTTACGACGAAACGAACAGGCTGTGTTGGTGCACTGTTAAACACAATGCTACATGATGACGAGAATAAGCTTAGCAAAATGGCAATAGAAAAGGAGATGTTGAATTGTCCATGTTTATTAATTGGTCACGACTATATTATATATTAAATAGAATTAGAGAGAGTGAACCATCTTACCTCGTCACTTTTAAACGTATAATCCCGTGTGGTCACTATATACCTTTTTTTTTAAAAAAAGAAAGAAGTGACAGAATATAGATAAATTTATAGTAACCGACAAATTGCAAGCAAGGTTAGGTCATTTTCCGACATGCAAACACAGGAGCGTTAAAACTAATACGACGCGGGATTGACAGACAACAATTCGTTTCGCAATGATAACAGGATATCCATGATAAGATGTCCCGGAAAAAAATCTTGACGACGATCATCACAGGAGGAGGACTCGGAACATAAAAAAGACGAGAGATGACAGGAGGGAAGAAAAGGATAGGATAACAAGCAAACAGGCACAAGGGGAAGCGAACAAAACAATGGTGGCCACAGCCAGAGCCAAAAACAGTGATGTGATGAATAATGGTCAAGGTGGGAAGGCAGGCGATAGAAAAAAATGAATAATGATGCCAGCATTCCAACACAGCAAAACGCCCACCATACCAAGCCATCACCACGGTCTTTTCTACTCAACTGTCGCTATTACTCAAGACCTTGCCTATCACTGCGTACTGGTTGCCCTCCGTATCGGAAAAAGTAGTCGTTCTACGCACCGACGTTATTTGCGCAAAGGAAGTCGTTTTCCTTCGCTAACTTTGTTTTGGACGCGAATACCCTTGACCCTTCGTTAACGGGCTCATTTATTTAGTTACCAGAGTAAATCACGCCGTGGTCCCATCCGCTTCTCTCCTTGCTTGCTCGCTCGCACGCACGGCCGCGCAAAATCCAAAATTCGCGGCATGCAAGCATCAGCCGCAGCAGCTGCATGCATAGACGAAGATCCAAAATTGGCGGCATGCAAGCATCTGCACAAAAATCGCGCCGCTAAGGAGATGCGTCCGTGCAAAAATCTGCCGCCAGGAGCCCAAACGAGTAGAAATCTTGCTCCAGGGAGCCCAAACGAGCATGCCATGATCCAAAATTCGCAGCAAAACATCTGTGCAAAAATCTCGTCGCCAGTAGATACATCCGTGCAAACATTGTGCGAGCAAGCCATACAAAAAAAATGTGCACACCAGGGCATCGAACCCAGGACCTCAGGACACTTGCCTCGCTACGCTAGCCATTTGAACTGTGGTTGTTTTTCATATGGAATGCACCCGCAGCCGTATTTAATAGGGGTAGACAGGGGAAAATACCCCTTAATTAATGACTCCTCGGTAAGTACCATCATGTCCTAAACGACTTCTAAATTCGATATGGAGGCAGTAGTTAATTAAACCTAACAGCTCCTGACTAGTATATCAATGTCACCACCCCCCGCGTTATTATAATATAACTTGCGGTGTTAAATCTCTCTCTTGTCTTGAGTTCACACTGACACACGCTCCCGCTCGTTCTCCTCTCTTTCCGGCTAATTATAAACGTCGTCCAACACGGCACCACCCAGCAGCGACCGCACCGCAGTACCGCACCCCAACAAGAAGAACCACCACCACACCAGATATGCATGTGCTCCCTCTCCATCTCCATCTCCATCTATCTTTCTTTCTTCTAGTCTAGTGCGATAGGTTGTTGCACGTTTTGCAGCACCCCCTTGTTTTTCCTCCTCCGCATCAGTTTCCTGACCTGCTGCTGCCTTGGATTGGATTGGAGCTCTCTCTCATCAGCTGTTCGGTGGCCACTTGTCTTCTTTCCTATCAGCAGAGCCAGAGCCAAAGCCAGATAGATAGTCCTCGTCTCCATCTCCATCTTCGTCTTCCTCGCTCCTTGAGGAATCTCCATCTTCGTCTTCGTCGTCCTCGCTCCTTGAGGAAATCATCGTCAGGGAGAAACCACCAAGAGCAAGAGCAGAAGCTCAACTTCCCCTCTGCGTTTCTCAAGGTTAGCGCCCTATCCTCTTGCCTGTATTTACTTCTGAATTTTGAAAGCTTTTCTTGTCTTGCTTGTGTTTCTTGGTAGTAAATCGGGTGGTGTAGTCAAGACTGCTGTTGTTTCTCTCCCCTTCAATTTCTTGTCAAAATTCTCCCTTTTGATTGCTGAGCTCGGTGGTATATAATCGGCGGATCCGATACTTTTGATTGATCCCCTTTCCTTTTGTGTGATGTGATGAAATGATTGAACGGCAAAAGGGATGCAACAAGATCCCAGGTTCAGGAATATACCACCAAAAAGAGTAATTTTGGGAGTCACTTTATGCGCTGCGCTGCGAACTGGGCATCTTATTACATGCTAAGAGTACGAGCACATACTATATGCTTTTCTTCTGTACTCCTTCATGGTTTATTGTTTCTCAAATTCATAGCATGTGCTCTCTGAAAAACCACACCACTGAAACAAAGTCTCCATCAAAATGTGGAAGCCAAGTCAGTTTTCTCCCCTCCAAATCCGCTCCCTGATTGGCTGATACGCCTGCGGTTTAGCAATTAATCATGTATTTAATGAAGTAGTGAAATTTCAGTAGATAGACAGGGCTCCAGAGACAGATATCACATTTGTGGACTGATTCTTATTCTGGTATATCCAGCAATGGATGTATGGATGGAATCAAAGGACATCATGGAGGACATCTTCACTTGCCTCAATGTTGACACCCCCCCATCCCATGATTCCCATCCTCCCATCACTTGCCTGCCTGCCTGCCTACCTTTCTTCACCAAAGGGGATCCGAAGAATGGTCCCTCCTAATCTCTTGATTGAACTCACCAAGCTCAGCTGCCACTTTCTGGACGTTGGACTTGTGCCGCTTCATTTATGCCTCCAGATCTCCTTTCCATGATAACCTTGCGTCTCCTGCGCAAACAAGTGGTATCAGAAATAAATAAACATCACATTCATACCAAACATGTGCTCTTTGTTATGAAATTGGATTGAAGTTTCGGTTAATAAGATAAGAAGCGATATTTCGCCAATAATTACGATCCACTGTGGCTATAGTGGCAGTCACAATCACAAAAGGCGAGGGCTGGACGGCTGGTGGTATCTCTCTTTCCCTGCATCAGCATCTGGCCAGCAAAATGTGGCTGATAGTTAGAGCCTATATCAGCACACAATGTTTACGCTTTGCCTTAATCTGGATTGGATTCTAAATGTGTTTATACACCTAAGTTTTGGTTGCTGACTCTATGTGCAACAGTAAATATATTGAACTGTGTTAAGCAAAAGGCACACTTAATCACCAGATGGTTGCTCAATAATGGTCTGTTTATAAGATATACTAGTTCAATATGCATGAGTTGCAACAATCTTATCCTTCGAAAAAAGGTTGTGATAGCCTTTCAGAGGCTTCAAGTAGAACCTCCCATCATAACATGGCTTCCAAGGTGTACAAACGTTAATCTGAATCAGAAGTTGAGGACCAGATTTCTTATCTACTACTGCTATATGTGTATACAATGACTTGCAAAAGAATAAAAGACAGCTTTTCCTTTTATTTGCTTTATTTATGTTGTTATCAACACCTCTCCTGTTTAACTTTTCAGTACCCCACATGCTTCAAACCACCTTTGATTCCTCAACCAAAGGAAAACTTGTGGGCATCACTGAGAATTTTTTTCCAACCAACCACCTATTGATTGAATATCTGTCAAACTGGTAGTTAAAATGCTGGCAGTTGCTGTAGTTTCTGTACTGAAGATTTCTAACACTCGTTTTTTCTTATTTCAGAATACTAAGGTGCATCTCTTCCGTGCTACAAGATCTGGTGGTGGGCCATGATGAACAATCTTAAGCTTGGTGTTGAGGTTACCAGTGCTCATGATCTCCTCCCAAAAGAGCAGGGCACAGCCAATCCTTTTGTTGAGGTCGAGTTTGATGGCCAAAAGTTCCGCACAGCCATCAAAGACAGGGACATCAACCCTGTCTGGAACGAGCAGTTCTACTTCAATATATCTGATCCATCCCGCCTCCCAGAGCTACACCTTGAGGCCTATGTGTACCATGCAGACCGTGCCAGTAATTCCAAGGCCTGCCTAGGCAAGGTTCGCATATCGGGTACATCCTTTGTCAGCCAACCTGATGCTACGCCCTGCACTACCCCTGGAGAAGCGCACAATCTTATATCACGCATGCGTGGTGAGCTTGGGCTAAGAGTCTTCCTCACAGATGATCCATCAGTAAGGGTGTCTGCACCAGGTCACCAGGAATTTGATATGTTAAGCACGCCTACCACTGCACAGGAGCAGGCAGCAGCCAGCTCCATTCCAAATCCTTTCCAAGAGACCAGAGCAAATCCAGTGAGACAATTCCAGCACTTACCAAGAGAACAGCAGCGTCCTGCACAGCCATACTACGCTGAAGGTTCATACGGAGACCAGCAACAGAGAAGCTTTTCTGCAGTTGGGAATAAAGCTGCAGCCCCTCAGCCTCAGGTTCAGGTATCAAGGATGTATGCTCCAGGTCCACAGCAACCTATAGATTTCCAACTAAAGGAAACAAGCCCAACGCTTGGTGGTGGCCGTGTTATTGGTGGCCGGGTGTACCCTGGTGAGAAGGCTGGGGCATACGACCTTGTTGAGAAGATGCAGTACCTCTTTGTGCGTGTGGTCAAAGCCCGCGACCTGCCCAACATGGACATCACTGGAAGTCTTGATCCTTATGTGGAGGTGCACCTTGGGAACTACAAAATGAAAACAAAGTACTTTGAGAAGAACCAGAGGCCCGAGTGGGATGAGGTGTTCGCATTCCCTAAGGAAGTCATGCAGTCAACGATGCTTGAAGTTGTTGTGAAGGACAAGGATGTCCTTAGGGATGACTATGTCGGTCGAGTGAGTATTGACCTGAATGAGGTCCCTCTAAGGGTCCCTCCAGACAGTCCATTGGCACCAGAGTGGTATCGTCTTATGGGCAAGGATGGCATGAGGGACAGAGGGGAGTTGATGCTTGCAGTCTGGTATGGTACTCAAGCAGATGAATGCTTCCCAAGCGCCATTCATGCAGGGTCAACACCAGTTGAATCCCATCTTCACAATTATATCCGTGGGAAGGTCTACCCTGCGCCAAGAATGTGGTATGTGAGAGTCAATGTAATTGAGGCACATGATATATACCCAATGGAGAACCACATACCTGATGTACTGGTAAAAGTGAGGCTGGGCCATCAATTGTTGAAGACAAGGCAAGTTCGCTCACCAACCAGAAACTTCATGTGGAATGAGGAGCTGATGTTTGTTGCAGCAGAGCCTTTTGAGGACGACTTGATCATATCAGTAGAAGACCGTGTAGCACAAAACAAAGATGAGGTGATTGGTGAAGCTATCATACCACTCGCAAGGCTTCCAAGGCGGGCTGATCACAAGCCGGTACGGCCAGCATGGTTTGATCTAAGAAGGCCAGGAATAATTGATGTGAACCAGCTAAAGGAAGACAAGTTCTATGCAAAGGTAAACCTTCGTGTTTGCCTTGAAGGTGGTTATCATGTGCTTGATGAGTCCACACAATATTGCAGTGATCTCCGTCCAACAATGAAGCAGTTGTGGAAGCCACCAATTGGCATGCTTGAAGTTGGCATTTTAAGTGCAAATGGTCTCAATCCAACAAAAAACCAGAAACGACCGTGGGTCGTGTGATGCATATTGTGTTGCCAAGTATGGTTCAAAATGGATCCGGACGCGCACAATAGTTGACAACTTGAGCCCTCGATTCAATGAGCAGTACACATGGGAAGTCTTTGATCATGGAACTGTACTCACAATTGGTCTATTTGACAACTGCCACGTAAGTGGAGATAACAACCACGGTTCCTCAGGCCACATGGATAAACCCATCGGCAAAGTGAGAATTCGACTTTCAACACTTGAGACGTCGCGTGTGTACACACACACATATCCATTGCTTGTCCTCAGCCCATCAGGAGTTAAAAAGATGGGTGAACTACATCTTGCCATCCGGTTCACAACATCATCCCTTATCAATGTGCTCTTTACATACTCTAGGCCCCTCTTGCCCAAGATGCATTATGCGCAACCTCTGTCAATAGTTCAGCAGGAAATACTCCGCCACCAGGCTGTGCAGCTTGTTGCGCAGCGCCTGGGGCGTATGGAGCCACCAGTTCGCAGGGAAGTTGTTGAGTTTATGTCAGATGCTCGCTCTCATCTGTGGAGCATGCGACGGAGCAAAGCTAACTTCTTCCGTCTTATGCAAGTCTTCTCAGGGGTCATTGCTGCAGGGAAGTGGTTCGGTGATGTTTGTCAGTGGAAAAACCCAGTCACCACAGTGTTGGTTCATGTGCTCTTTATCATGCTTGTGTTCTATCCAGACCTTATCCTGCCAACAATCTTCCTCTACATGTTCTTGATAGGGTTGTGGAATTACCGGTTCCGGCCACGCTTCCCACCACACATGAACACAAGAATATCTTACGCTGATGTTGCACATCCAGATGAGCTTGATGAAGAATTTGACACATTCCCAACCTCAAGGAGCCCAGATCTCATTAGGATGAGGTATGACAGGTTACGGCATGTTGCTGGGAGGATACAGACAGTTGTTGGGGACATTGCCACTCAGGGAGAGAGATTACAGTCACTGCTGAGCTGGAGGGACCCAAGGGCAACAGCTATGTTCCTAATATTTTGCCTGATTACTGCGATTATACTATATGTGACACCATTCCAAGTGATTGAACTCTGCCTTGGGTTCTTCTGGATGAGGCATCCTCGGTTTCGCCACAAGGTGCCGTCAGCACCAGCAAACTTCTTCAGGAGGCTACCTGCAAAGACAGATTCTTTGCTGTAAAGTTCCTTGGAGAGCAGCTGTCAACGATGTCTAATGTACCTCTTTGTACCTGTTTTTGTTACCCATATATTGTTGTATAATAGCCTTAAGTGAGACATATAATTGCCGCTTCATGTGAGAGAACAAAATAAGTTAATCTCATTAGATGATTTCCTGCTTTTAGAAGTTAAGACATTCCAACTTCTGTATGGCATGAAAATGTATGTAAGATGCCTGCTTCAACAACAGTTTCTCCAATTAGTCAAGTTTGTCATGGTGAAAGACTACTGACTTTGGTAGGTACTAGAGATACACTTCCGTTATAAAGCTGAGACTTTGAATATCATCTGGATGGGAATATGTAAATAAATTAAATGAAACAAACACCCATTCTAGAGTATATTTTCCATGTCTGAGCATCAAAACCTTGCTGTATTATAAAGATGAGAATCAGAACCTTACTGTATCTGAGAACAGGTAACAGCACCAGTAGGACTGGAAAATCATTCTTTGCTTCCTTTGAAGAAGCCACCTTATCATTCTAGGACCTGAAGAACATAAAAAGGCAAGTAGGCAAAACATAAAGCAACAATATTTAATACTGAAGATTTGAAGAACAAATCCAGAAAGCATTTCCAACATACTTAGGTCTCCTAGTTATTTATCAAGTATCATCTCAGAACAAATTTTGAAGTACATGCAGACCTCCAAAGAGTGATGAAGGAACCGATTACCTTATTATCAATATGGTCATCTGATTGCTTTTCTGTTAGAAGCACTAATACAGCATCTGATGTTTTCAACTTATCACTTTTTCTGTATAATCAAAAGACTCAAAAGATTACCTGGAAACAAACTAACAGTGGTTCTCAACATTCACCAAAACAAATATTCAGTTTGTCTAGTATAAAAGTGGCAAAATAGGAACCACATCAGCTCCACACTAAGAAGTGCATTTGTTCCAGTGTTACCTATGGGTACTAGACTACATGTAGTGCTGTAGCTACTAGTAGCGAAATGTTTTTTGATCTATTTTCTTATTGATTTAATGAGTACACATTATATGTTTTGTGATGCTACAAATTCCAGAAAATACATAAAAATCGAGAGATGACTGGTAATAACGCTAAACAGATACCACCCAGGGTCCAGCAATCTTTTTTAATTCAGTTTTTCTAACCCTGACACCATCAAGGACAAGAAAGTTGTGTGCACAGTCCTAATGTAGAACCAAAGTAGCAAAGGTATTTGGAACATTTGGGATCACAATTTTTGAAGTGCCTAAAAAAAGGCAGTTAGAAAGTTACCATTTTCATGTTAAGCTCAAGTCTGAAACTAAATACCGTACAATTTACACAAGTGGGTTCATTATCACAAATTCAAGAGAGAAAACAAAGATAAGAAATGGTAGAGCAAAGATATATAACAGGAAAACCTCTGTTGCCATTTCCCTCCAATTTACACAGACAGTCCATGGGCTGAATGACCCATTTTACATACAAACTTCATGCACGCATCACAAGAAGATAAAGATGTTTTCAATAAATGCCTATTATTGTTTACAAATACAGATAAGATGGAAACGTAAATCAAATCAGGAATTAGTAGTGTTTTATCATGCCATGAAAAGGGGAAGTCCTCCGGTCCTCCTTTGTTGCTATAAGCCACTTCATATTTCCAGCAGTTGGTTGCCTTGGAACTAAAATGCATGACATACATTTGGTGTATGAATTTCCTAAGAACCTGAAGCAGTATAGAAGAATCAGTACATGTGCACCACAGCGGGAAAATAACCAGTAGTCGATAACTCAGTATTCATGTCAAATCAAAAGTAAACACATGACGAACTAGTAGTCTGTATTGATGTCAAAGTAAACATTCGACGAGCATTCAGCAAAGAAGGTGGATAATAAGCCATCAGGTATTATCTTAGAGTGAAGTATTGAGTACCTTCCTACATTTCAAATTAGTTGGCGATGGTATATATAAAAACATAACATAAATGGGCCTACCGACAGATGCACCTGCACCTGTACAGTAAGGTGTCCATTCACCAAAGCCTACTCATAGTAACCCAAAAAGCACGTCACAGATTTCCCGTGGTAGTTACCTTGTATGAGGTACTGATAGTATCCATTGACTCGGGAAGGCGAAGCAATTGACTGAGCCAAATCTAATGAACATTCTTCCGTAGAATCTTCCTTTCAAAGTATTAAGATTTAACAAGTAACTCCGTAATGAACAGCATTAAGCTAGCTACGGAAAGTACACAAATTGGGAGAATCATATTAAGATGGCCACTCACCAATTCCACAGCATATAATAGAACTAAATTTGTCAGCAACTAACAAAAGGATACAGTTGCATAGCTAAGCTTTCCAAGCCTCTCATTTCTTCATTCAACCTGCAAAAATATATTGAATAAATTTCTTCCCTACCATAGACTTTTCCCAGTCCCTTATTTGTCATAGTCAGTGACAGGTAGGCTCCATGTGTCAGTGATGGATAATAAGAGATTGCAAAATTTTGCAATGGAAAATAATAAATTGCCCCTATGTTGTATGGTACCACAGAAGCTAAAAGGCAAGTTTTATAGGACAGCGATTAAACCTGCTATGTTGTATGGTTTAGAATGTTGGCCTACGAAAAGACGACATGTTCAACAGATAAGTGTCACGGAAATGCGTATGTTACGTTGGATTTGCGGTCATACAAGAAGGGATCGAGTTCGGAACGATAATATACGTGATAGATTAGGGGTAGCACCAATTGAAGAAAAGCTTGTCCAACACCGGTTAAGATGGTTTGGACATATCCAACGGAGACCTACAGAGGCACCGGTGCATAGTGGAATCCTAAGCCAGGATAGTAACGTGAAGAGAGGCAGAGGAAGACCGAAGTTGACTTGGGTAGAGGCAACAAAAGGAGACTTGAAAGGATGGAATATACCCAAAGACTTAGCCTTAGATAGGAGTGCTTGGAAAACAGCTATTCACGTGCCTGAACCTTGATTGCTTCTGCTGGGTTTCAACTCTAGCCTACCCCAACTTATTTGGGACTTAAAGGCTTTCAACCTATTCGTTTGGCTGTGGCTTGTCGTAAACGATCGTAAATTTCCAGCCGGAACAATATTTTTCTCTCACACAAACCAGCCAGCAGTACTTCTTCACGAACCAGCAACGAAACGAACCAGCCAACCGAACAAGCTGTTTGTTGTTGGAAAATAATAAATTGCCCCTATATTATCAGAGAATGGAAGGGCAGTCCTGGTGCAAGCGGTAGAGTCTTACCGCCTGTGACCGGAAGGTCCTGGATTCGAGTCGCGGTCTTCTCGCATCGCACAAGCGAGAACATAAGCTGTCTACATACTGTACTAGCACACTAAAGCATGCCAAGATGAAAGGTGAAGAACATTTTGGTCAAGCTGATCACCTCAAGCACGAATTGATGTATTTATTTCCTTTCGAAGATGCTTCAAGTGCTGCAAAACATAATATAGTGGAGGTAATGATCATAAACTGGAGCACCAACAAAGCAATCGATGTTTAGACATTTCAGTGCAATGAAATCATATGTGATACAACCCCAAACACAACAAACTACATCTTACAGAAATCCACACAGCAACCTACGGAAACCTTGCAATCAATGCTGCAACGGTAAAATGTGGCCTTTGATTTGAAGGCTCACACCTCCCAATATCAGAGATTTAGTTTCCCCCGACTTCGAACATAAAAATCCGAACAATCGAGAGAAGAGCCTAGTAGACGTCAACAGTCTCGCGGCCTCACCGGATTCCTGTAAGCGGCCGATGACGTCCCCCAAGCACTCCATGTTCTCCGCGGACGTCGAGGTGACCTTCGGTTCCCCGCGTCGAAACAGTAAGATTCATCATAATCTATCAGTGAACGGTAGCAGTACTAGCAGCACTGCAGCAGAGCTCGAAAGGCTCGCCCTGTGTTGGAACGTAAAGAGAGAGTACGTACGTTTGAGAGGGCGACGCGGAGGGAGGCGTCGCTCTCGGCGATGGCAGCCGCGTCCCGCTCCACCGCCTCCATCGCCGCCGCGACCTCCCGCGCCCCGGCCGGCGCCGGCGCCTGCGTTCCCGGGGCAACAACGGCCGTGGCGGAGGAAGAGGAGGAGGAGGAGGATGAAGGCTCCACAGTAGAGAGATCCTCCGGGGGCGGCGGCGGCGGCGGATCACGGGACTCTCCGGCGGCCGCGGCGGGTTCCATCCCGTTGTCCTGTCCGGTTGGGAGGATTACTGTGCCGTGGAACGGAAAGGAGAAGGAGCTTGAATGTAATTTGACCTGTCAGGTGCCGGAAGGAGCCTGACATGGAATTTGATTTCATTTCTTCCTGGTGAAATGGCACGTAAGTACGTAACACGGTGGGTTAGCTGGTTATAGAGTTTTTTTAATTGAGACTGAGGACATTTACATAACTTTTTTTATATGGACATTTTACATAACTTGATTTCAAACAGATAGATGAATGCGATCAAAGATAGTGAATTGGTCCGTAAAAAGGTTCTCACCTATTACAAATCGAATGTCGTTCTAGGGAACATGTATATCCAAAAAATAATACGACTCACAAGTTTTTTTTTCGACTAAACGACTTACAAGTTGGAACACAGAGAGTAAGAGTAGCTCTTATCTTATTATTACGAGGAAGTGACCTGTAAATATATATAGGGTGTGTTTAGATGAGGGGCTACATTTTCATTGCTTAAATTTGGGGAATGATCCTATTCCGCACAATAGTACTTAATATTAGCTCGTGAGAAATAAAATTATAATACATCGATCTATTCTATTCTATAAACTAAATAAAAAATAAGGAGTGAAAAGATGAAAGACTATCCCATTTCTCAAACAAAACATCATAGATGTCGAGCCAATTTTTGTTTGGCTCGTTATTTGGCTAACATTTGGTTTAGGGTCCTTGGCTGAGCCAAGGCAATTTTGGCCACCTAGTCTACATAAAGTGAGACGCACGTAGGGTGGCTGATTTATGTGCCATATTTTAACTTTATTGCATAGTGTCAATGTCGTACCTCCGGGTATCTCGACTGAATTGTTAAATACCGACTCTGGATCAGAAGAGATCTGACAAGGCACGACAACCCTATTCAAGGAAGGATATCTCCGGATTACGCCAAAACTCCGATTGAGGCACGACTACTTAGCTTGTGGACAAGTTAATCCCGGATATAAATAGCTAGCAATACCCTCTGTTGTAACGATCGAATATGGAATATCTCATCGACTCTCTCGTAGGCATAGCTTACTTAGCTTGGGTGAGCTGTTGATCCCGGATATAAATAGCTAGTAATACCCCTATTGTAACGATCGAATATGGAATATCTCATTGACTCTCTCATAAGCATAGCTTACTTAGCTTGGGTGAACTGTTGATCCTGGATATAAATAGCTAGCAATGTCCCATGTTGTAACGATCGAATATAGAATATCTTATCAACTCTCTTATAGGCATAGCTACATTGTAAACGCAATGTCGTCGAATACTAGCAATACAATAGTAGCAACTGGACGTACGGCTTTTATTCACTTCCCGAGGGGCCTGAACCAATATAAATCACGTGTCTCTACTATGATTGATCTTCGCACCCAATGAAGTTCCACAGGAACCAAATATCCGCCGGTAAAAAATACCGATAGAGACACGTTAGGTAGGGAAATCTTGCGCAAAGATCGATCGTACCGATCGACGGAGAAGTTTTGTTCTCAAGATGCATCTACTCCCGTCGCCGGAACACCAAGCTGCACCAACTTTGATCAGCCAAAGCGCTGACCCAAGCGAAAGCACACGCACCAACACCCGAAGGCCCTAGGCAAAGCGACGGCGGCGGCGGCGTCCATCCAAGGCTCACGATGGGACTAGTGGAACGTCAATCGGCGGCAAAGCATGTCGCTTCCTTCCTCGATCCAGACATGCAAGATCATTAGAGCTGGTCATCACACGTGCACGCATCAACCCCGGCTTCCAAGATCCCGATCGAGCTTGTATCGGACACAGGCATGCATGCACATATGCATGGCGACGCATATAGTTGCACATCCAACAGGCTAATGCCAGAAACAGTGACTTTGCCGTGTGCCACAGGCACTCGGCAAAGATTAAAAAACATTCGGCAAAGATTTTGCTGAGTGTAACACTCGGCAAATAGTACACGTCATCTACAGTGTCGGTAAACGGCTATTTGCCGAGTTTTTTTTTATCGCGCACTCGATAAATGGTTTGCCGAGTGTCAAATTTAACACTCGGTAAAAAAAATGGTTTGTCGAGTGTTTTTTCAAAATACACTCGGCAAAATTACACTCGCCAGCTGCCATCTGTGTGCTGCTTGCAGTAGCGCATCCATCCATCCATCCATGATACTCCATTAGCACATATAGTAACGCAGCATACCGTGAATGCAAGCAGGTGATGATATTTGGTGACGATGTCAGTACCTTCATCTGGGTACGCTTGTTCTGGAACCAAAATTTGACCTGGAGAGGCTCCAGTCCCAGCTCCCGGCTCAAGTCCTTTCTCTGCTTGTCGTCAGGGTGCGGGTACTCCTGGATCTGGTGCTGGGTATGGCGGTGGTAGCGCTTCTTGCGGGCTGGCTGCAGGCTGAGATCCTCCTGCAGCTCCTCACCACCGGAGCCTGACCCGGCACCTCCCTCCATGTTGTCGCTGGCAGACTTGCTCTCCATCAGCAGCTCGTCGTGGCGTGGGCCGCGTGCATCGCTCTGACTCGTGGCTGCTTGCGGCGGGTGCTGCTGCTGGTGGCTGTGGTTCTGATGCTGCTGCTGCATCATAGCGAGCTGATGGTGCCCATCCATCATGTTCTGCATGACAGATTGAAATGTCAGTTGTAGTTGTAGAGTATCATCTCAAACATATATGACTGATCTGAGATTACTGAGAACCAATAAGAAAAATGAAGAATTAACATTTGTGCATGGTTCTATTGGTTTCCTCTTACATCGACGATCTTCTTCAACTGTGAGCAATTTATTTTACATAAACAGATCAAAATTCATGAACTTATATTATGCTCAGGCAAAGTAAACAAGTACTGCAGTACATTTGCAATATTAAGGACTCTTGTACTGTTACCTTAGGTAGAAATAAAAACCGAGTGCATTTACTTGTTGCTGTAAACCAACTGTGTAAAGGTCTTCTATGGTTTTAAGACGCCAGCATCTGTACTGACTTGTAAGACTGTAGGAAGTTTCGATACACTATCGTGGAGCAATAAAGTTGAGCAAGTACCGATTAAGTTCGTTGGCGAAAAGGATTGGAGAGCTTCAACCAAATCAGGAGAAGAACACAGCACACTTGCTTTCTTGAGAAATAAAGGATATACACTAGAGAAACGGGCTGTACTTCCGGTTCTCAACCCCCTTCAGTTCCGGTTTTGGAACCGGGAGCACGAATCCGGGACTAAAGGGTCCCTCCCGGTTTCGCGCCCGGGGTAATATCAACCGGGACTAAAGAGGCCTCCCGGCCTGGCCACGTGGGCCGGCCCTTTAGTCCTGGTTGGTATTACCAACCGGGACTAAAGGTTTTATTTTCTTTTTCTTTGTTTGTATTTTCAATTGATGATTCGTTTTGGTTTTTGAATATGTTTTCGAATACGCATTCTATGCTGCTAATAATATATGTATTCTACACGTTTATAATATAATGTTCGAACATTTTGTACAAACTAAAGTATGAAACTAACGTATATATTATATGCATATACATATATTGTACGTTATTTTATATACATATAATATATATATATATATATATATTACAAATAAAGCTTGCATTGTATATTTTATCATATTCTTGGGATAACAAATTCACTCCATCTGGTTTGGCTTTCATGTTTCGTTCACGTCATTGTAGAACTCACCGGCGGGGTTTAAGACCTAATCATTAAGAAATCCTGCTATGGTCTCTTGAATTGCTTTCAGTTGGTTACGTCGTATGATTTTTTCCTTCAACCATAGAGTCTTCAATAAAAGTTAAAGGAAAAGTATTAATATATATATATATATATATGTTGGTCACGTGATTACTTATATATATGAGCAATAAAAGAAATTATAAATATATGAATATATTTATATAACATACTTTGATGTTCTCTTCAGGAGTTCTTTTTGAGTACGCCATGATGAACTCGCAAACATAGTATCCGCAGTAGTTGTTCCCCTATTCTTGCATCAGAACCCACTTTTACGAGAAAAAAGATCCGGTGAATTGAAAGCATGCATGGTGTTAATTGAATTATATATATATATATATATAAATATAGCTAGTACTTACTTTGTGTGCGATTATATCCAGTGACGCTTTGCAATGTTTCATGTGGTGTTCCTCAATGAAACTTTTCCAAACACTGCGCCCAATAAAATAAAAAAATTAATTTGGCCTTTAATAATTGTTGTAATTAAGAGATCGGGGTATATATAGTTGCTAGAGAGATCAAATTACCCTTAGATAATATCTATCATGTCTTGGTAATCTGTTTGCTCTTTTCTTAACGAGTCTAATATGCTCAACCGACTATTGGCCATATCGATGACCATCAATATCCAGTGATTGCTGCATATGTTTTTATACACAAATATGATCGACATTAACTAGAGTCAACATATGTATATATGGGAGATAGCTTAGCTAGTAAGCAAATAATTGAACAAATGTACATATGATCGGCATTAATTATTTAACACTCGCTTGAAGTTGTAGAGGAAGAGTATGTCCTTGTTTTGTTGGTTCACTAAGAACCTCATGAGATTTTTCTCGAGTTCAGCTTTCCATCCAGACGGGGGATCAGGGTGTTTGAATACGACATTTGGATCAACGAAACCAACATCATTATCCTGTCTCTTTCTGAGTTCTGTCATCTCATATCTGCATATATAAAAATATAGTGTGAGGATATATAATTTATATATATATATATATAGCTTTATATATATACACTTTAATAGTAGAAAAATAAGCACACTTACAGACAATAGCAGCTAATGAGACTTTTGTCGAAAGAGTCCAGGTGGCATAGTTGGTGTAATTCTCCAAACTCGACATATATAACATCATCGCCACAGAAGTAATGTTGGTTTCTAACTCCGACAGAAACAAAGTTCTCTCCCCGTTTACACGCCGTCATGTACCACTTGTTTAGCAGGTACATTTGCGTACCCAGTTCACCTAAGGCCTCAGGGTTGTATAGACTCTTTCCATGTTCAAATTTCTTTCAAGGATCCACTTTCGGAGCAGATGGTCCTTCAGCGAGCACTTGGGCAAGGTCCAAACCAGTATCCTTGTAAAACCGAACCAGGTCCTCAAAATCGACGTCCGGTAAGTCTAAGTTTGAACCATATTCATTACGAATGACAAGAGGGGGGACTGATTATTGCGATTGTTGTTCGAGTTGTGCGACACCTTTCCCTGCTCTAATCTTTTTCTGCGCCGCATCAAATGACTTGGTGAGAGAGCGATCGTAGTCCGATTTTGGTAGGGTCTTTTGAGATTCTCGCTTTTTCTGGTCCACCTTCTTTCTTAGAAGATCTAGAGGTAGGTAGAAGTACGGTTTCTCTGGGTTCTCCCTCACTTCTCGTTGCTTTCTTACTTTTTCGAAGAAACTTTTTACATCTTTTTGTACTGCATCCTTTAATTCCTTTTCACTTTTCTCGTAAGACAGTTTTTGGGGAATAACTGGATTAGAGGAGGCTTTCTTCTTTGCCGGCTGGTGGGCCAACGGCTTCGTTTGCGGGGCGGACCTCTTAGGAGCCGGCTGCTTCTTGATCATCAAGGGAGGCGGGGCAGCCATTGTAGACCTCATTGGAGGCGTTGGAGACCTCCTTGGAGGTGGCAGTGGTGGCGGCGTTGTATAATCATTGCCCAGAGCACTATGATGATCTGGAGATTGAATAATTGGACTTAGGTTGGCGGAGGTCCTGCTGTGTGATTACAAAAAAGAATAATTAGGTATAAGAAATTGTTATTATTAATCATGCATGTCAATAGAAAATTTGTGAAAAAAATGTTTCGTTAACTTTTGTCCGCACCTATTGTCTGGCAGTTGAGGAAGCGACGGTGGACTAGAGACCCCGGGAATAATGATGTAGCGCTTGCGCTATAGTATGAATGTCTTCTCTGCTTCTCCTAGAGTCTTCTCCCCATCACCTCCTGGAATATCAGGAGGCAGATCACTAAAACCTTTGTTAACTCTATCCACTGAGACGCTAATATATCCAGATGGTATTATTGGCCTATGAATTCTTGGTGTCTTGGTAGGATCTGGAGGAGAAAAAACACCGAGAGCCACCATGATTGTGGCATTCTCTTTTGGAATATGTAGCTCACATGATGTAAACAGTGCAGTGATGTCATCCACGGGGAAACGTAGCATTGCGTCATCTTGATTTGGCAACTCCGTGGAAGCGCAACTGCTTTTCAACTGATCAGGAGGCTAATATTAATGTTGATTCCTGGATCTGATGCCTGCCCTTGGGCACTCATTGCTATTTGCACTTGCTTTATGATTTTGTCCTGCATTCTAGCTTGCATGTCTTTTTCGCGCTCCTGTGCTTGAAGCAACGCCTCCCGTGACTCACGAACCAATTCCTCCAACCTGCTGATCTACGCTGCATCCTCATCCTTCCTTCTCTGCCGGCTTCTATAGGTATCTCTGTCGTCAGGGAAACCATGCTCCCAAGAAATGTTCCGTCCTAAACCTCTCGTTCGGCCACTGTGTTCAGCGGTCCCGATGGCATACGTCAGTTCATCCTTCTCTCTATTGGGCCTGGACGCACCAATAGCTTTAGCTTGTAGAGCATAAGACAATCTTTGTGTTGCTCTTTCAAGTTTTGGGCCATGAACCTGCTTCCCGGTCTCTAGGTCCAGTCTTCCCCCATGAGCGAAAAACTAATTCTTCGCACGTTTGGGCCAATTGAGTGATTCTAGTGTGATACCCTTGGCAAGAATGTCCGCTTCCATTTTCTCCCACTTGGGAATGGCAGTCGCGTAGCCACCTAATCCCATGCCATGGTGGTATACCTTCTGTCGGGCATTCTCTTGGTTTCTTCTCACCCTCTTCCGATGTCTTGTACTGTACAAAATCATTCCAGTAGGGCCTCAACTTCGCGAGCGAGCCGCTAGTATTGAAATTGGACGTTAGGTTCTTCTTGACGTATTTCGTGTATAGGGATTTCTTCCTAGTCTGGAATTGTGTGGCCATCTTCTTCATAGCCCACTTTCAAACTAGTTTCTTCAATTCATCATCGTTGATAGCATCATAATCATCCGTTTGCAACGTGAAATGTTGAAGGATATCATCCTAAATTAAATTCTTATCAAGATCAGAGAGGAACAAGTGCTTCTCTCCATATAGTAATTCGTCCCCAACAACACAATGGTGCTTGCCGAGAAGGTTGCTAGTGTTGTGTCGTTGGCATTTTTCATGGCCGTGGCCATGGTCATTGTGTTCTCGTCTTTTACTGCGGTAGGTAAGTAATTCGCATGATATTTCCGTAGGTTAACAGAAGAATGGGAGTGTACACACATAATAATCGTTTATCGTTTATATTTATATATATAATATGTTTGGGTATGGTGATTGACAGACTACTACGACGATTTCAGGACGTGTGAATAAATAACCATCCGTACTAGTTGACCTTGCTTATGTGATCATCTCGGCGAGCATTTCTCCACCGGACGGCACCGTACTTGGCCACGGAAGAGCTCCAATTGTACAAGGAAGGGAACACGGTCTTCCACAACCATTGCCGCTCTCCCTCGTAGAATCAAAGCTCCTCCTTGACGTCCGTTACCGCTCGACAGAGAA